TTAGCCCGATGTGGAAATGTGCTTTACACCTGACCTCTCTGGACCTGTTTTACATCTATAAAACAAAAGGAACTGGTCTCAGTTATCCTCAGTGAGGAAGTTACTGGTTTGCTGAGCAGGATAATTCTTTGATGTATAGGTCTAGCCAGTGAAGACATTATGTCTCTTTAGTCCTTGCCCCTGTAAATGCAAGTAACTCTCTCCAGTTGGAGAGAAAAAAAACAAAAAACAGGAAAAAAACAAACCCTGCCCCCATACATATTTCTAAATGCAAATATAGGTGGGTAGGTGTTAGGTTAGGCAGATAGAGTTTCACTACTAGGTGACCTCTAAAATCTCTTCCAGTGTTAAGATTCTACAAATGAGTAATCCTTCAGTTATGCTCAAATAACTAAAAATAGGAGAAGGAAATACTGGGTACTTTAGGAAACATACATGGGCAATTTTAGTTCCAGTAATTCCATTTACAGAACCTCCAAGGAACAGCTGGTAGGTTTTTAACAGCCGACTTTGCAGTTAGCAATTCAGTGCTTACCCTACAGCGCCACATTATTCAGAGTATACCACATCACCTAGAAGCTTAACAGAAATACATAGTATCAGATCCCACCTTAGACCTATTAAATCAGAATCTATATTTTAATAAGCTCTCTAGGTGGACATTAAAGTTTACAAAGCACTACTTTACAGGCACTAATTTAACCTTAAAACTATGCATAATTACTTCATGCCAACTTTACAAAGCAAATATAATCATCCTTCATTTTATAGACTAGGAAATTGAGGAACAAAGAATCATATACTTTGCACAGGTAGTAACTGTTAGAGACAGGATGTGAACCCAAACAGTTTTGTTATAGAGCACAGGTTCTAAACCATTGTTATGTATTGTCTATTTTCAAATCTTCTATTATTATTGCTATGTGTCATAGAGTTGGTTCTGACTCGTTGTTGTTGTTAAGTGCTGTCTAGTCGATTCAGACCCATAGCGACCCTGAACAGGGTTTCCGAAGCTGTAAATCTTTACCGGAGCAGAAAGCTTCATCTTTATCCCACAGAGCAAGGTTGAACTGCTGACCTTGAGATTCGCAGCCCGATTCGTAACCACTACACTACCAGAGCTCCGACTCATAGCGACCCATTAAAAGGGTTTCCAAGAGCAGCAGGTAGGTTTGAGCTGCCGATCTTGCAGTTAGTAGTCTAGAGCTTATCCTACAGTGGCACACCAAGGCCCAAATATTATATAGTATATTAATAAAACTGAGTATTTTGCAGTTATTAAAAGTGGCACCTAAAAAATTTTTAGAGACAAGTAAATTAATATATTAAGTGAATAGACAGGACATAAAACTGAATATATGAGCCCAAAGATTTAATTTCAAAGTATATACACACACACACACACACCACACACATAAATATCTACATAGGTAAGTATACACATACATGCAGACACACCATATACACTCATTTATAAACAGATCTGGGGAGAAAAAAATCTTACTACGTGAAAACAATATTAGGTTAGGATGGGGTCAGATCTGGTGTTATAATTTCTAGGTTCAAATTCCAGCTCTACCTGGTGTGGCACTGTGGGTTAATGAGATGGACTACAAAGTCTGTTTGAACTACAAAGGTGGGTAGTTCAAGCTAACCAGCTGCTCCTCAGAAACCCTACACAGGGTCACTATGAGTCAGACCCTTTCATTTCAAATAGGCCTTGCAGTATTAGTATTTTAAATCAGCATGATGAAACACTGAAACTTGAGTTGGGAAGCTATGAAAGTTCCTTCCTGAAGGATCTTTACTCAGACTGAAGTCTACCATTTATCCTGAATAATTCTGAAATTCCAAAAGCCTGCCAGCAGCTGCCTGATCTTGAGATACTGGACCTCTCAAAGCCTCAATTTTTCTCAACTGAAAGAAGATACTACCTCCATTTGCGCTACTGTGAGGATTAAATGAAAATATGTATGTAAAGGTCTAAGCACACTGACTGAAGTCCCTGGGAGGTACCTGTCCATTACAGGAAAGGGAGGCTGCTCAAATTTACCCAGAGACTTATGAGAAGAAAGAAGGGTCACAGTCTTGAAAACCCTATGGAACAGTTTTACCCTGCATACATGATCATCGCCCTGAGGTGGAATCGACATGTTGCACTGTATGATAAGCACTGGACTGCTAACCACAAGGCCAGTGGTTCAAACCCATTACCGCTCCTAGGAAATCCTATATAGGGTCGCTATGAGTCAGAATTGATTTGATAACATTTAACAACAACAGTAAATTCAAAGCACTTAATGCAAGATAACAAATCTAACACCATCATCTTTCTTTGGCTGGATGAGACCTCTTGAGCTTCTAGTCCAGCAATTAAAACATACTCATTCTTTCATATCACAGTTTGTCTTTTCATTATTTTCTAATCAATGCTATCTTCAAAGAGTTATTTCATTACAAATTATCAAGGCTAGAGGGCTGAAAAGAGACAACTCCCCCTCCATCAAGATGCAGTTTACATTCCCAAAAGTACATAAACTGTATCATTTGGCTTCTTAACTATACAACTATTAGTAGAAAATCAATTCAAGCGGGGTTTTCTCCACCTTTCTAGTATCTTTGTGCACACACGCATTAGTACACAAATGAATCAGTCATATGTTTAAATAAATGAATTCCATCAATCGCTATCAGGTGTAATCTAGGTCAAGCCTTTTCACCTGATAAAATTAGATCCGCATCAGCGTTAAGACTCAGAAAAACCTAAGGATCACCCAGCCTGATCCTTCATTTTACAGATGGATTTTAAAAACCTGTTTGAACACATTAACAAGGAAAACATTAAAATGCTAATCTACTGTTTCAGGAATTAGCCCAAATCCTAAAAGAAACAACATACATAGTAAGCCTCAGTTTAGATTTTTTAAATGGCACCAATTTTCAGCTCAATAAAGGTGTTACTATTATTACCACTTTTTCAGGTGTGAGTGGGAGCTTCCTCACTTTCTAAAAGAACTCTAGTCACAACTTTGAATTCTATTTCAAGAAGAACATTTATTTACTACAAGGGAGAAGAATAGAAAGACAATGACCAGATATTTAAACGGTTCTTAGTGCTGATGAAGCAGTGCTGTAGGCTAATGCACAGTACTGCAAGGTCGAGGGTTCAAACTCACCAGCCGCTCCTCGAAAACCCTACACACGATCGCTATGAGTCAAGACAACGCAACGGCATTTAACAACAATAATAACAGTACTGTTGTGCTGCACTAAAGAAAGCAATGGACTGCTAACCACAAGAGTGGTGGCTGAAATCCACCAGACACTCCTAAGATACTCTATACAGGATACAGGGTCGGTATGAGCTGGAACAGATTGCGAGGCATTTAACATCTGATTTTGAAGTCCCTTGGTGGTACAAATGCTTAGCAGCTGAAAGGCTGGGTGTTCAAATCTACCCAGAAGCACCTCAGAAGAAAGACCTGGCAATCTGCTTCCAAAAGTTCAGAGACACGAAAACCCTATGGAACACATTTCTACTGTGAAACACATGGAGTCTCCATAAGCTGAAATAGACTCAATGGCAACTGGTTTGGTTGTCATTTGATATTTAAGTCAAAGAACTAATTTAAAAAGAAAAAAAAAAAGTGAAATCAAAGAGCCCATAAAATAGTATAAAAATACTGAGAATACTTTTCTTTACAATTACATATAACATTTTAAAGATAGCATGAATGGCTTTTAAGCATGTAAAAATACATTCAACTTCATTCATTAAGAGAAATGCAGATGAAAACAACTTTTCTGTCAGATTTGCAAATATCTAAGTCACTGAACTTAAAAAAAAAAAAACTGGCTTTCAAATGCTGGCTTTATGAGTTGTGAATTTAAAAACTCGTGGTAATTATTTCTATTTATAAGCAGGTATATGCTTGTACATTAATAAGCCTATATTTACACATAAATTTTCACACTAGCATATACTGGAGAAAAGAGAGGGGAACAAGTATACTGTTATGTTATTAAAGGAAACCTCTAAGAAGAAAAAACTCTGGTCGCTATGGGTCAGAACCAACTCGACAGCACTTAACAATAACAACATCAAGACTATAAATGAACATATCCTCTGACACAGTAATTCCACTTCTAGCTTATTCTACAAACGCATATTCATATGTGAGAAACACCATCAGTCCAAAGATATTCAATGTGACACTGTTGAAGTGTAAAAAAAAAAAAGTAACAATCTAAATGACAGATTCATAAATTAGAATAGTATACAGTCATTTAAAAGGATGAAAACTATATAAAGACTAAATATTTCTTAGTGATAAGTCAGCAGTGTATCACTTACAATACAATAATTTTGAAATTTATATGCAAGTATTTACACTCATGCTTCATGCACTTATAAAGGAAGAGAACATTTTAGCATGCATAAAAAGCTCTGGTAGCACAGTGGTTATGAATCGGGCTGTGAACCTCAGGGTCAGCAGTTCGAAACTACCAGCTGTTCCACGGGAGAGAGATGAGGCTTTCTGCTCCCGTAAAGATTTACGGTCTCGGAAACCCTGTACAGGGTCGCTATGAGTCGGAACCGACTCCACGGCACATTACAGCAGCAGCAAAAAGATGGTACTAAGAACTGCCTTTTTTACTACTTTACCAAATATTTCTACCAAGCAATTGGTAAGAAGGGTGAAGGAAGACTAACTATTTTTTATTGTCTATTCTTTCATACATTTAATTTCCACATGTTTTTTTAAATGAAATGTTTTAAGTATTTATTTTAAATTTAGAAAATGACTACCAAGTCTTCCTCCACTAACAGCTTTAAAATTTGAGACTTATAAAGTCAGCATTCCAGGGACAAAACTTTTTTCAAGACTCCACAATCAGTATCCATTCCAGCACAATTAAAATTCTAAAATACTTCAAGGCAGAAAACTCCATACTACTTTTATTGCAGTAGAATACAAATAGAAAAACTCAGCTCTTACCGGACCAAATCTCCATGAAGCTGTAAATAAAGGCTTTCCTTTCCCTCTCCAGCACACATTTCAGATGCTGGTGTCTCCACTGTGCAAAGGACGAGACGTAAGTCAGAGGAGGAGGTGGTGGTGGTTGTAGTGGCAGTGGTCGTTTCTGCTCCATAAAGGTAAACACAGCCTCTCTTCACATTTTCTCTCAGCCAATCTCTTTCTCGAGAACCAAACCTGCTTCTCCTATTCAAACAATTTCTGCTCCCATTGTGTTTCATGTTTCTCTAAAAATTACCAAGAGAAATAATTAACTATATGTTTAACTGACTTAGACATGCTGAGTCTTCACGGAACCTTTCCACTTTATTTCCCCCAACACTCCATCTGGGTTATCACCTCCTTTTAATGCAGCCTTCTGAATCTCCCATCCCCTTCCACTGTTAGCTTTCATGTCTTCCTCCATTTACTCATCATCCTCTTTAACTCTTTCTTTTTCTTGTTTACAGAAAAGTGTCAAAAGGGATTCTGTGTACCTATCATAGAGACTTCATAAATTTTAACATTTTTATCATATTTGCTTCGGATCATTAATCTAAAACACATACACCCATTATGTGATAGTTGGCACCATACACAACACTGTATTTGGTATTTATCATCACATGCAGTTTTGTGTTTGCCATGTATCTACATATCTATAAGCTATATATACTTGGTATATGATTTACAAAAGTTAAATTTTTATTTAAATATTTACAGCAATATTTTTATTTAATTCAACATTAGTTTATGCTATGTTATTGGTTTGTGCACTATAGGTTTGTCAAGATACTCAGTTCATCCATTTGAACTGCTGAACTATTATACAGAATAAAATTCTATTATAGGAACACATCACCATGTATTCATTCTCCTATTAATAGCATTTAGTTTGTTTCCAATTTTTCACATGAATATATCTCCTTATGCAAATATACAAGTTTTGCTATGGTTCTAATCCCTCTGCCTTTTACCCCAAGTTAAGTAAATCAGGTATGACACAATACTGAGAAAATATTCTTTACATTTCTGTCCTGTTTTTTAAAACTTAATGTTGTATAATTTAGGTATACAAAATGCACCTATTGTAAAGTTACTTCCAAACAAAAACAACTGTTACACTTGATGTAACTAGTTTCTAAAGATCAACTTTACCATCTCTGTTTTTATGGTCAGGCCATTTCTGTTCCCTTTAACAAAATATGAATTACCACTGAAATTTACACTGATAGACCTCTCCAGCTTCATTCCCTACTACCCTTCACTCTGTGTCCCAGCCATGGTGGAGGACTTGCAGCTTCGCAAACACACCAACTGTTACACAATTCTGTGACATACATGTTTTGTCCTTCCCCACCTGACTAGTTATTCTTCAAAACTCTACTTAAGGATCACCTACTCTATGGAAACTTACATGTCTCTCATCCCTATTCTCCCTTCCTCTAAACCAGTTATCTTTTTTTTTTTTTTTTAAGGTTTTTATTGTGGATTGAGTGAAAGTTTTCAGGGCACATCATCGGTTTCACATTCAAACATTCATATACCTTGTTTAATAACATCGATTATAATCCCCTCCACATACCATCAGTTAACAGAGTTTCTCTATATCCTCTTTAGCTTTTTTTGGGGGGGGGAAACTTTGCCTTTTTGGAATTTACAGTCTCGGCTTTTAGGGAAGGTTTTTACATTTATCTGTGGGTATCCAGGGCTCATGTATGGAATTACTAACCAGCATAACTGAATAATCAGATAAGGGACATTTTGCTATGTCTGCTAGGTGGCTAAAGTCTGATCCTCAGAGCCTATGGTTTGGACAGTCAGCAACGCTTGGGCCCACGGGGACTTAACTCCTGACCGGGTCTGCATGGTCTGCATCAGATTCCCCCTTATTTATTATTTGTTTAAGGGACGCTACCTGTCTTAGGCAGTCAGTGCGAATTCCTCAGTCTTACCCGTCATCGAAACTCATTGCAGCATGGCAATGGCTCTGTCTTAGGTTGCCGAGGTTCCACGTGATCCTTGCCCGTTAAACCAGTTATCTTTTAATCGATTCTGACTCACTACGATTCCATGTGTGTCCAAGTAGAACTCTAAGCCAAAGGATTTTCAACGGCTGATTTTTCAAAAGTAGATCTCCAGTTAACAGTCTTCATCACCTGCGGGTTAGTACCCCCTATCTAGAAAAAATCCTTCCATGTTCTCCTCAATAATCATCATAACACGTGTTAATTATTTGATATGTTTTAGTTCTTTCACTGAGAGCTTCTTACAATGCTTTAACACCTGGTGGCACAAAAATGTTTGTAGAACTCAGCAGACATCACAGAAATTTATTCTCAATTTGTACATTAGTCCAATTAGTCCTGGCAAAAAGTTGAACATTTCTTGTGGAGGGAAGGAAGGGGGTTTACATTTTTTTAAAAAATCTAAAATCTTTTATCATTCACATACTAATAAGTGAAAAAAAAAAAAATAAACTACTCTCTGTGTTTAGAAAAAGAATGAAAAATTATTTTAATAAATATTTAAATTGCATATTTGAGAGTACCTCTAGCACCTATAATTCTATTTCTAAAGAGGGTAAGAAAAAAAAGGAAAGTCAAAATTAGAAGGCATCCTTGATTTGGAAAGAGCCAACAAGCATGGGGAATGGCTTCATGATCGAAACTGATGACAATGTTAGTTGCCCTTGAGCAGGTTCTAGCTTCTGTCACCCTTACCAGTAACAGAGTGAAGAAGTGCCCAGTCCTGTGTCACCTTCCTCATCATTGGTGTGTTTGAGCTCAGTGTTGCAGCTATTTATTGATGGAGGGCGGTTGTTGTTAAGTACCATCCAGTCGGGTTAGACTCATTTCGACCCTAAACAGGGTTTCCAAGGCTTTAAATCTCCAAGGGAGCAGAAAGCCTCATTGTTCTACTGCAGGGACTGGCGGGCTTGACCCTCAAACCTTGGGGTTCACAGTTCAGTTATTACCATACAGAGCCACCGCGCTCGTCTTTATTGAGGATGTTGTTGTTAAGTGCCGTCGGGTCAGTTCCAACTCATAGCAACCCTGAACAGTTTCTGAGAACAACTGGAAGGTTTGAAGCACCGACTTTGTGTTTGAAACTGACCTTAAAAAATTGAGTGTTTATTCTATAGCTCCAGACCAGGATTCTTAGGTGGGCTGAGGATGCTACTGTTAACTGCCACTGAATCAGATCTGACTCATAGCAATCTTGTAATAGGGTTTTCGAGGAGCATTTGGTGGGTTCAAACTACCATTCATGTGATTCGTGTCCAGTACTTATTCACATCACCACACCCGAAGTCCACTTATTGAGGATGGTATAGGTAAACTGCTCATTTTGCAGATGTTAGAGATTTGGGTATAGGTAGATATTAGTGATTTGGTGCTGTGGTTTAATGCGCTGAACTGCAAAGTCGGTTTGAGTCTCAAGTCGGCAATTCAAGCTCACCAGTCGCTCCTCAGAAAACCTATACAGGGTCGCTATGGGTGGGAAATGATTCAACAGCACTTAACAACAACAATTAAAACCACTGGGGGAAAGATGAGGCTTTCTACTCTCACAAAGATCTGAAGCCTCAGAAATGCTATACAGGGTTGCTCACTTTACAATTCACAACCTTCACAACTGTAAGGATGATTCTAATGTTAAATAAGTAGAATAAATCCCTGCTACAAGTGGGAACTAGGTCTCTCTACTCTTCAATGGCAGATTCTCAAAGACGAATGTCTCAACATTTAAAAGAGCTTTCAAGAGTTTATTTTTCAAACACTGTTGTTGTTGTCAAGTGCTGTCTAGTCAATTCCGACCCATAGCGAAGCTGTATAGGGTTTCCAAGGAGCAGCTGGTGAGCTTTGAACCGCCAACCTTGCAGTTCAATCGGCTTTGTAGTCTGGTGCCATTAACCCACAGTGCCACACCAGGACTCCTTTCAAACACTAGAACCATCATATTTGTACCCTTAAAAACTTTAACCACTGGTTAATTTTCAATGTTCCTGATTTTGTAAAGTTTGGTGAAAATCAATGGGCCCATCTAAACACAGGACTGCAAGGTTGGTTTGAACTTCAAGGTCGATAGTTCAAGCTCACCAGACTCTTCTCACAAACCCTATACAGGGTCACTACGAGTCAGAGCCGACTCAACAGCAATTAGCAACACTACAGTACAGTGCAGTCCTGATAAGCTGCTGTAGGATCAGCACTAGATTGCAAACCACAAAGTTGCTACTTCAACTTTGGACTTTTGCTTCCTTGGACTCCACGCCACTTTACAACAACAACATTGTCATTATTATTGTGTTGTTGGTCATGATTAACCTCAAAGAATGTATCCCCTGTCTACATGATATAATATCCCTCTCATAAAATATAAACTGTTAACACTTCAATAGACATCTCATAGTACTTTAACAGATACCTCAATAGACGTTTAAGAGACATGGATAAATCAAAGGCTTCCAGCAATAATCTACACAGACTTTTTTGTCTTGGTGTGGTGCTGTGTGTTAACGTGCTGGAATGCAAAGTCGGTTTTAATCGCAAGGTTGGTGGTTTAAGCACACTAGCCGCTACTCGGAAACCCAGTACAGGGTGGCTACGGGTCAGAACTAACTTGACATGTAACAACCGCTGCTCAATTAACTAGTTCTTCCTTCTTCAAGGTTTCCATTCAACTATTAAACTACAGTTGGTGTATGAATCCACTCCATGGTACCCTGGAAGGAACACCTGGTGATTGAAAAAAAAAAAAAAAAAAAAAAACCCTCTGGAACAGCGCTACTCTGCTGCTATCCGCTGGAAGGGACTCAATGGCAATGGCTTTCGTTTATTCTTCTGTTTTGTTTCCATTTCTCTCAAAAAAGTCCTGCTCTACTGCTGGAAAGGTTTTCTCAATAGCCAGTACTTCCTGCCACACTGTCCCTCTGAAACTTTGTCTGTGTTTAGAACCATCTTCCACTGGACTTGCTAGCTGAGAACACTTTACTAGTTGAGCTTCTCCATTATTCTTATATGAGAACTGTTACCCTGACACTTACCCAAAAAAGAACACAACTAGATTCAACTCTTTAAAGATATCTCTCTCCAGAAAGCAAATGTCAATAGTAGAGTAAACCATGAGTTAAATGTCCAAAGTTTCAATTTTATACATTGACCTTTCCAAAAATAAAGGTAATATATGAGGGCTAGGATCAGTTCAAAGGTGACAAATGATTAAACACCCACATATCATTAACTATAATACGCTAAAACCAAACCCAATGCTATCAAGTCAATTTCAACCTCATAGGTGACTCTGTAGGACAGAGGAGAATTGTCTTATTCCAAGGACGTAAATCTTTACAGAAGCAAACTGCCACATCTTTCTCCCAAAGCAGCTGGCACATCTGAATCTTTTAGTTAGCAATTGCTTTAACTGCTGCACAACCAAGGCTCCAGGGAACTATAGGTTGTTAAGTGCCATCAAGTCGGTTCTGACTCATAGTGAGCACCTATAAGGTTTCCAAGGCTTTTTAAAAAAATCTTTGTGGAACAGAAAGCCTCCTTTCTCCTGTGGAGCAGCTCATGGGCTCAAACAGCCAACCTTGTGACTCACACTCCTGTGCTTATGTGCTACAAAGCCATCACACTAGTCTAGCTTTGGTAATATCAGTCTTTTAACGAAGCTATACATATCATATATCATTTCACAATAATGATGTTTATGATTTGATAAATGTAAAAAAAAACCTACAGAACAGAAAGAAATGCCATTTTCAAAGGGTCGTCAGCAAACATGAGGGAGATTACGACTTATTTCCCAATTGGAAAGTCTTCCACTTAAATACTCTTTTCCAGTTTCACTTGGCATACAATTTTACTACTCAGCTACTTAAGGGAACTTTTGTTGTAGAACACACAGTACTTATGATCCCATTTATTTGCAAGGATTATGTAAACTGATGACTATAGGCAATAAAGCAGGGATGCAAGAGCCTTGGAGACTCTGCCTCCCACACCATCTCACTAATGGGATTAATATCTGTTTCTGGGATGCTTCTCAAGGAACCTGTGCCAGTTGTCTTCAATCAAGACCCTCATTTCTCAGTTTCTTCCTTTTCACAGCTCACTCCATTCCTGAGCTCCTCCCCGAAAGTTATTAAATTGAAAAAAAGAAGAAGAAAAAGAAAAGGGGCAAGGCTGTTTACTTTGAGCCAGAAGGCACTGCCTCTCCCTCAAACCTGCCATTTCCTGATAAGCCAGGTCAGTTAACTTTTTTTTTTTTTTTTTTGTACTAAGAACTCACTCACAATCTACATTTTTGTAACCTTACTTTTAAATGACTATCCAAAAACCTTTGGGTAATAATATTTGTAATTTATGGTTGAATGAATTACAATAAATATATGCAAGAGTTAAATAAAAACAGAGATAAACTATGAAAGGTTATTAAGTCCCTGCACCAAGGTGGTAGAATTGTCTTTTTCTATATTTACACAGTTCTAGTTTACTTTGCTTAATGGATTCAGTAAATTCTTCTAATTTATATTTTTCTCAGTGTTTCTATCTTTGCGACGGTTTACCAATACTCTTGATAACAAGTGCAAATGGCTTAATCTCAATTCCAATAAACTATCACTTGATGTATTTTTTAACATCGCGTATTTTAATTGTTTTGCAAGGTATTTTTGACACAAATCTGTCTATGTTCTTTGCTCTCTTCCTTCTCCTTGGCAAGTTTTAAATGCTGTCGACCACTCTTCTGGAACTCCACAATCAAGTCAATACCGCCCCCATTACACCTAGTCCTCCTATTTGACCTCCAGAAAAATTTCCCTCCAGCGATGTCAAAGGCTAGTAGAAACTCCACCCAGATAAACCTGCAGGATCCTTCCTAGTATCCATCTTCACCCCACATTCCATATGCATTTAAACTTCTTGTCATCACCTCCAAGCCCCCACTTGCCAGCATCTGCTTTCATTTCCTCCTACTCCCCCCAATTCTTGCCAAAAAGCCCCGCTTGCTGCCTGTTGCATAACTGCTCCCCCATTACCGTCTCCCTGGACCGTCAGCCCCGCTCCTGCAAGCAGGGATGCCCCTTTATGTCCAAGTCCTCCTCCCTTCCGCCGCACGCTCCGTGATTCCCCGTCATTCAGCTCCCAAGACTAAGCGGGTCGTCCTTCCCGGACGGCGTCTCAGGAGCTAGGAATCCAGTGGGAACTTCGGGGCTCAGCCCCGAGGACAGAGTCTACGAGCTCCGCCGGCCGGCGCGGCCCCGAGCACACCGCAGCGCGCGACCAATCACCGCCACCATCCTCCCGCTGGGGTGATGTCTTCAGGTGTCCGGGGAGAAAGCCCTGCGTACTTGCAGTCCCGCTCTCGGGCCCGGACCAGGCGTCCTTCGGCGCCCGGGAGCTGGGGACCGAGCGTGGTCCCGGGAGATACACGCGGGCCTGGGGTCCCCCCAGGGGCCGGGTGGGCGGCGGCCAGGCAGACACCCGAGCCGAGGCGTGGGCCTGAAAGGTGGGCGCCTGCGAGCCGGGTGGCGCGCGGCCAGGGATGGGCAAAGCCGGGACGGAGGCGGTCGAGGCCTCGGCCAAAAGGCCTCGAGGGGGGCTGCGGCGCCCCCAGCCGGATTGAACGGCGGCCGAGGCGCGAAACTGACTGACGCGAGCGGGGGTGGCTGGCTGCCTCAGCCACCGCGAGGGGCGGGGGCGGCCTCTTCCTTCCCTCACTCCCACCTCAGCCCGCCACCTCACCTTCAGTACCCGGATTCCTCCCGGCCGGTGGCTCACGAGCGCTTCGGGAAGCTCCGGGGGCTCCAAAGGGGCCGCGGGCCCCGGCTCCACCTCCCCCATCAGCGGCGGAGAGTGCTAAGGGACGCCGGGCCGGCGCGACGGCGCTTGGATCCTCAGCAGCGCGTAAGAGCGGCCGGCGGCCCCGCCCCCTGCGGGCTCCGCCCCGGGCCCTCCTCGGGCCCCGCCCCTCCCACAGCCCCGCCGGACCTGCGTAGCTGCGGGTCCCACGGGCACCGGCGCCGCGGATCCGCATTCTGGCTGGCTGGCTGGCTGGCGGCTGAGAACCAGTAGGGCGGAGCGTGGCGCCCACACAGGGCTGGGTCTTCGCTGATGGCCGCGCTAGGTTTGGAGGACTGAAGCGCAGGGAAGGCTATAAACTGCTGTCTCCGCCTCCGAAATGCCTGCACCTGTCAATGTTGACTGGACGCTGCCCTCAGCTGAGGGTGACTTGTAAGTTAGCTCTCTAAAACGTTTTCTTGCTTTCTACTTTGAAATTGGCATGTCGCTGTCACTTGCAAAACCCTTGGAAGCGTTGTTGAAAATACCTTAGCAAGGACTTTTCTCTTATTGAAGGTGCTTACGACCTTCGTCAACAAATTTGATCCCAAAATATTTAAATTCCTTTCTGGTAGCGAAGTTACTAGAAGTCTGTTCTCTGACTCAACCAGTAATGCGGTTTGTGAACCATTGATTATTTACAAGGCTAATTCAGAAAATCTTTAAAAGTTAATTCATCATTTTCTTTTAGTTTCTACAGTGATGGTACTTTTGTGACCAGTGGGTCAAATGAGGAACCAACTTGATGTCAAATCTCAGCTCTACCACTTATTTGAGCTACACCATTGTGTAAGGTACTTAATCCAAATGTCTGGTTCTTCTACTGTGAAAAAGGAGCTCTGGTAGCATAGTGGTTACGAATTGGGCTAAACTCAAGGTCGGCAGTTCCAAACTAACAGCTGTTCCGCGGGAGAAAGATGAGGCATTCTGCTCCGGTAAAGATTTACAGCCTCAGAAACCCTGTGCAGGGTCGCTATGAGTTGGAACCGACTCCACAGTACACCACCACCACCAAGCTGTGAAATGTGGGGCCCTGATAGTACAATGGATTACAAATTCTCCTGGTAATCTCAAGCAGTTCAAATCTACCAGCCGCTCCGCCTGAGAAAGATGAAGCTTTCTGCTCCCGTAAAGATTTACAGCCTCGGAAACCCTGTACAGGGTCGCTATGAGTCGGAACCGGCTCCACGGCGGCACTGTGGGCTAATGAATCAGAGTCGTTTGAACTGCAAGGTCGGTGGCTCAAGTTCACCAGCTGCAACTTGGAAATCCTATACAGGGTCGCTATGGGTCGGAACCGACTCGACTGCACTTAACAGCAACAAAAACAGCCATTTGTATTCTGAATTTCCAAATTTAAGTCACTAAATTTCTCAAAGAAGTCCTGGTGTGGCACTGTGGGATAAAGCATTTGACTGCAAGGTCGTTTTGAACCACAAGGTCGGTTGCTCAAACTCACCAGTCATTCCTTGGAAACCCTACACAAGGTGGCTATGTGTTGAAACTGACTCAGTGGCACTTAACAACTGATCAAAAGGTACTCTTGCTTATTCCTCTTAGATTTTTCTGGGATATCTCATGGAATGCAGACTTTCTGTAGCTATTGGAGGCTGGATGAACCCCTACAACTATGGCACTGAAATAATCTTTAAAAAATACACCTTGAACTCTTAAATCCAAACAGTTTAAATAGTAAAGAATGTTTGCTATGACCATTATGCACTCTTAAGAACTACCTACATGGGATTGAGCTGAAAACAGTTCAAAAGATTAGACAGGAACTTTAGGGAGCAGTGAGTTTGTTAATGGGGGAGGAACGACTCAGAAAAGGAAAGTGAAAATGGTGGCCCAACTGGAATCTTTGTCATTGCATTGCCCATGTAGAAGACTGAATTAGTATTCTACTGTGTATCTTCTCAATAACAAAAAGTCCATTGTAATGTTTTCCTAGGATACCTTCTAGACTTTCTTGAATCTTCAAGGAACCAATCTCTTGAGCTTGGAATAATCAATCGACAGAGATTATTAGCTATTATCCACTGAGTTTCAGATTGCTTAATCCAGGTCACCTATCCAGTCAGTTTTATTTAATTGTAGGACTAACACAAGAACACTTGAGATCTAACAATGTGGTAATCCTCTCTCTACTATGAGATATGTATCTAGAGATAATGTAAATTTCAAAACAAAATTTTACTCTTGCAAAGACACTATATACCAAATGTTAGAGGAATGTAATTAATTTCTCCCTTCTCTTTCTATACCCAAGATCTAATATCCAGTAATCTTCATTTACTTGGTTTTATTTTAATCAATTAAAAAATTATCTCTGAAAGCCTGGTGAAAAGTGAAGAAAGTTCTTGAATTGTCCACTTGCTGGAGTTTTTCTATCATAAACCTACTTGAGAAAAGCTCCTCAAACTCTTTAGGTACCCCTTTCAGTGTTTAATTCTTCCAGCATGAATACAGTATATGTTATAGGCATACATGTCTTTGTAGGATAAGCACTAGATTGCAAATCACAAGATTGGTGGTTCAAGTGCACTAGCTGTTCCATGGGAGAACAATAATGAGGCTTTCTGTTCCTGCAGATTTAAAGCCTTAGAAACTGTATTTGTTGTTGTTGTTAAGTACCATGGAATCAGTTCCAACTCATAGTGACCCTGCACAGGGTTTCTGAGGCTGTAAATCTTTACGGGAGCAGAACACCTCATCTTTCTCCTGTGGAATATCTGGTAATTTCAAACTGCCCACTTTGAGGTTAGCAGCCCGATTTGTAACCAGTACACTACCAGAGCTCCTATACAGGGTCTCTAAAAGTCCCAATTGACTCAATGGCACTTAACAGCATAGACACAAATGATATGACCAAGGCAAACAGGCAGTGATTAGAATAAAAATGTGTTTTGTTTCTGAAACCCTGTTTCTTGAGGTAATTTCGTTGATGGTAGATGTCGAGTCAGTTCCAACCCATAGCAACCCTGTATAGGGTTTCCAAGAAGTGGCTGGGGAGCTTGAACTCCAGACCTTGCTGTTCAAACTGACCTGGCCTAGCACATTATCCTGGAGCGCCACAGCAGAGCTCCTGGCATTATTTACACATTACCTTTTCCGCATCTCATGAGCTCCAGCTCTTTACTGCTTGATCACTTGAAAAGATCTTGTCCCAAGACCAGCGTTTGAAGTTCGTGCTAGGGAAAATCACTGGTAGGTGGTTGGGTTTGTTGCTTTGTCTGATTTTCTAGTTAATGGAATAGTGGTCTAAAGCATTTATTCAGAAAAGCACCGCTTTCAAAAGAGTACGGCAAAAAGTCACCTGTGAAATGTTTCAGGAGATACTGTATGTTACAGCTCCCTTGAAAGGTCCCCATGACTTAAGACCCAGGTTTCTAATTCAGTAGTGACAACCAGTTGATTCTGAGTTTTCTAGTCATTTACTACCATTAACATTTCATACTTTGTTTCAAAGGTCACATATTCATGATCCAGGCATTCTGCATTATGAATGCCAAGGGTTATGTAACTACAATTTCTGAAAATGATAAACAGCTGAGACTAACCCTAAAAATAAATTCCTCTGAGTTTTTTCTTATTTGTGCAAAAATCCATCTGCCCTCACTGCAGGTTCATTGTTAACAAAAATCAGTGGATAAAGCAAAGCAATCATTAGAAGTCCTCCCTGCTCTGTGCCCTTCCTACAGCTATATATTCTCACTTCACCTCAGGCCACACATACACACACAATCTCAGGTTCCTAATCCTTACTGCAAAATGGTTATGGGCCGTGGAGTTGGTTCCAACTCATGTGACCCTACATAGGGTTTCCATGGCTATAAATCGCTACAGCTTTGAACTGGTAGTTTCAAACTACTGACCTTGAGATTAGCAGCTTGACTCGTACACACTACCATTATACTTACTACCATCACTTACTTTTATCGAGTTTCCAACTCTTCTTCTGGTCACAAAGCTATCTAAATTCCTTATTCTGCCACACGTTGAACTGATGATTTAAGTATTATTTTAGTTCCAAATAAACAGGAAGTATTTACCAGCCTTCAAGGTCTGAAGAAAACTTATCCTATGAACATTTTTATACTTTTCATCAAAAATAAGGGAAATTGAACTGAGGTAAACTGTGTGGCAAACTCTGTGATGAGTATGAATTTGGTCCTTTGGGACTGATACTGAAATTCACAGTATTATTCATTAAATTGCTAGTAAATTTTTGGAGTCCACAACTGTCTAGGTTTTCTACTCTATTTTTGTGTTTTTGTCTAATTACTGGTAGATAAGGGTTATCAACTAAATTTAATATTAAAAACAGATTAATTTTAACTGGACTATATACAAGAAAAGATTATGGATACATTGCTTATCAAGCAGTTCCAAAGGGCACTTCTGCATAAACCAGGCCGCTGTCAGAGATGATCATGGTAATACAAAACTCAGCCTCCAGCCATTCTCACTTCTACATAATAGAGTTCATACACAATAGATCATGGCAGGTTAGACCCTCCTCTTCCAGTTACAGATATACCTGAATAATTTACAAATACAAACTTATAACTAAAACTTCTACCACCCTTAATACATATTTCACCAGTATGTTTGGTTTGGGGTTTGTATTTTTTTGCCTTAAGAATTCACACATGTGATGATAAGCATGTAAGTAATCATATTATAGTTTACATTTCCAGTTGAACTTCAGACATTTTTATTGTCTATTAACACCTGTTAAGGGCCACTGTACAGGGTCGCTATGGGTCGAAACCGACTCGACGGCACTTAACAACAACAACAAGGGCCACCGAGTTGGTTCCGACTCATAGCAACCTTTTGTAGGGTTTCCAAGGAACAGCTGATGGGTTTGAGCCACGAACCTGTGGTTAGTAGTCCAATGCTTATCCTACAGTGCCACACCTGGACTCCAACTATTTTTTAAATTGATTAGATTCCTCTCTTGATGAGATTTCTGATTGTAAAAGTAACATCAGAGATCA